CTGTTTAGCATATTATAGACAGGACTAACAATTTTGAAAAACAAATAAATAAATGAAGATTAATTTTCACTCATTAATAAACACTCATGCATACGTTCAATATAATTTTGATTTTGATAATATTATTATGCTTATTATATTATAGAGTTCCAAAGGACAGGCGTCAATATGGCAATTACTCATTCCACCAGTACTTTTAATAGGACATTAACTTGAGCAAACATTTCTTGGCAACATCTAGTAAAAGAAAATACGTTGAAATAATAATTTCTATCTCAGACTAGTCTTCTAGGTTAGACCGGTTTTAAGTCACTCCTCGTCAGTAAGCCCAGGCTAAGCTGAAGCAACAGACGTTAAAAACCTTACTTAAAATAGAGGTGTTTATTCTTGTCAACTTCATATTTTCTGTATAATTTTTCATCGCTAGATACATGATTGTTTATTTCAGAATTTCCGCACAAAGTTACACAAAGGACTATCTCTGTCAATGGCCGTCCCTAATTTCGTGCAAACTTACATAAAGGACTATCTCCGTCAATGACCGTCCCTAATTCCGTGCAAACTTAAACAAAGAATTATCTTTGTCAATGACCGTTACACAAAGGACTATCTCTGCCAATGACCGTCCCTAATTCCGTGCAAACTTACATAAAGGACTATCTCTGTCAATGACCGTTACACAAAGAACTATCTCTGTTAATGACCGTTACACAAAGGACTATTTCTGTCAATGACCGTTACACAAAGGGCTATCTCTGTCAATGACCGTTACACAAATGACTATCTCTGTCAATGACCGTTACACAAAGGGCTATCTCTGTCAATGACCGTTCCTAATTCTGCGCAAACGTACACAAAAAGGACCATCTCTGTCAATGCCCGTTCCTAATTTTGAATTTATAGACTAGAGGAAAGGCAGCAAATCAACAGCACCCATTGTCCACTCTTAGGTTACTCTTGTCTCATCGAATAGTGGGGTTTGACCGTCATTCTTAAAGCGCGTGGGTACTCACAACCTACAACTGCGGAGCACGTTTTTACGGTAACGAGGTGCGAATCATAAATAATTGCATTTACAGTACAATCACGCTAACCAATAGGGCACGCCCAGACCATGCTAGCTACTTACCTATCTTCAAACGGGATTTAATGTATTCTGTTTCTGAAAACGCAACTGCAAAATTGTTGATTTTCTTTCTATTTTAACGACGCTAGCAGTACATTTTAAGTAGTTCAGATGTTAGAGACTTTTAAACTAAATGTATACAAAGCTGCATCCAAAATAGAAAAGTGGATATCTCTTGTTATCCATAGCGCGTAATGGTAGGCTAACCAATAGGGTTGTTGGATGAAAATATATGTGCTTTGAAATTGGCGTTCCAGTTAAGTGGGAGTTGAGGCTTATGAAGCCTTACAAGGTATGATATGTTGTTTTTCTTTTGTTCCAGGAGTACTCATGAAACTTAAAAACACATCGACGCGTACATACCATCTATTTAAGAGTGAAAATGCTTTAGTTAGACGTGTAGCTCTCTGTGTTAATTAATACTTAATGTCTTAAGCTATTCTTATTCTTTTTTATG